TCCAGCTCCTGTGGCCTGAGGAAACAGGTCCCCAGACCACTTTGTCTTCTCCATAGGGCTTTCTCTGGGCCATGAGCAGCACCGATGGCCCATGGCCAAGTGCTGCATGCACAGCCAGCGTGGGCAGGAAGCTGCTCGCTGACCCAAACACACTTGCACTGCTGCCAACCAGACGCCAATGCTCAGGCCCCAGGGCTGGCTTGGATTCCAGGCTTAAAGGACAGGTCAGCAAAGCATTTGCAATTCTGAACAGAGCAGGTCCCTGTTATGCACCGGAGCCCACAAGCAGCAGGTCACACTGCTTCCCCTCAGTCCCTGGGTGCTCCCATGGGAGGGCTGAACCTCCTCTCTCTCCCGCTTGAAACCCTAGGACAAAGGTTCCAGAGGGGCTCTCAACCTCCCACCAGCCCTCCACTCATGAGCCTCTCCCCACTGGCAGCTTGGCAGTCATGGCTATGTTCCTGAGGGTGTTTTCTCAGTCATGCAGTCCCGTTTCTAGAAACTAGTCGCCTGGAGATTTCTCTAGATTTTTAGTTTCCCATGTTAGAGGAAACCTTTTGGTCACCAAAAACCACACTGAAAATTATTGACTGTGGAAATCCACATATCTGGTGTTTGCTTTTTGTTTTGTGTTGTTAAGCATGTGACCATACAGGATATGGGGAGGTCATGGGAGGTGACTCAGCGTTTGAAAGCCTCGTTCTACCACCACTTGCTGGCCCTGTGACCTGGCGCATTACTCAGCCTCTCGGTGCCTTACTCTCCTCACCTGTAAGATGGGAATAATAGACGTCCTGGCTCACAAGGTTAAATGAGTCAGTTTCTTAGAATAGTGCTGACACATAATGACAGCAAATCCCAGTGACTAATTATTCCCTGTAGGAGAGTGATAGATGCAGAGCCCTCGTGCCTAAACCAGGTTGGAGCCATAGTCAGAAAATAGAAAGTTTTACATTATTTAAGCCTGACAGGATTTGCATACGCAGTCCTGTCACGTTAAACTGCAGCACAAGGGACCAATTGGAGACCTATTTGCATTACCTGAAGGAGCTCTCCTACATGTTAGTTTAAACACAGCTTACCAGGTGTACTTGGAAGCAGTACCAATTAAGATAATCTCATCCAGTGAATTAAATCCAGGCTTTGGAATCTAAAGGGACAGAAGCCAGATGGTAAGGCAGCTGGACAGACAGGAAACTGCCCACATTGTGGCATTTTCTTTTCATCCCCAGACTTTCTTACGTGTCCTCAGGCATCTGTCACTTCTAAGGACAATCAGGAGAGACACAGTTCTGGACTTGGAAGCTGGGTTCCAGACTCAGTGAGCAGAGCAAAGTCCCTGTCCAGGGTGCACGTGTTTGTTGCTGCTGCTCTGAAAACCAGCTGAGTGTCTATGCTGCTCACCCCTCTCCCTGGCTGCTGGCTGGAGGGGACCTGGGGGACTGGATTGATGCTGAGCCTGTCACCCACAGCTACCTTCCAGCCCAGGTATCAGCTCCCCTACGCAGTCAGGAGAGTCTTTCCTAGAGAAAATTCTGAATTTGTCCTGGGTGTCTATAACTGCAGTCAGCCTTTGCCTGCTCACAATTTTGTCATTTCTGCTCCCATTTATGTAAAACTAGAGGCCTAGTGCACAAAGTTTTCTGCACGGATAGGGTCCCTAGCAGCTTCTGGCTGCCAGCTGGGGCCTCCCTGGTGGTTAGCACACGTCTAACACCCGGTCGGTCGAACTCTCACCCTTGGGGACAATTTGCATATTAGCCTTTTATTATGTGGGATTCCGGAGCTGAGCACGTGCCGCAGCCCCTGGGGCCACCTGATTCAGCCTTCATTGAAGCAAGAACATCTGGGAAAGAATAGGCTGGAAGTTTTAGTTCACTTTTTTTCAAATAAATGTTAAAACAAAAACATAACTATGAAAATAAAAAATGTTTGTCTGTTTATCACCAAGGTTACCTAGGTTGTGTTGAATGTACCATCATCACACTTGGGGACATGCTGTGCTGGGAGTTGTCACTGCTAGGCTCAGGAAAGTCCTCAGAATCATGAAACTACCTTGTCTAAGAAATTAGTAAACTGAGACTCAGGGGCAGCTGAAGGGGACTCCATATAAAGCAAGGCCCTGCCTACTTCAGGCTGAGTGAACTCTTAGTCACGTCCTGATCCCCTGCTGCCCTGCCCCCAGCTGCCCTTCCCAGAACACTCTTTGCTCCCTTGCTTTTTCCAAGATCCTAACTCCCATGCACCCTGGTCTCCTGGGAGTTGTGCACACCCACCGGCTTGGGCATCTACTCCTTGTTTTCACATGGTCTTTCTATGACCCCCCACATCCAGTCTGACCCACATGTATAGACGGCTTTCTGGGGCCACCCAAGAGGAACAAAGGGGAAAGAGCCCCAGGCCCAGCTTTACCTGAGCATCCCTTGACCTCTGCCACGCACTCCCAGGGTTGCACAGGGGCTGGGCAGGAGCTTCCTGGAACTGTCACTCCAGAGGTGGAAGGCATGGGTGTCTGATTGCTTTGAGAACAAGACCCCAGGGAAGATGTCCTCTCAGTTTTAAGTGTTTCACTGGATGTTCTAGAGCTAGGAATCCATCAGCTGGTCCCAGCAGTTGGGTTCCATGGACTCCTGGTGTTACTTGGGATATTCTAGAAAAATGGGCTCTGTGACCAAGGAAATTGGGGCAACACTGCAGATTCTTATTACCTCCTGGACCTTTATAACCATGTTAGCTTAGAAAGGACTCTAAGTAATCCTAAAGCAGAGAAATTTGTTTGGCCTAGCATTTTCCCACCTTATTCTATCACAAAATATTTTTCCTTATAGAACACAATTGGAGATGCTAGAAAGCACTGGATTATATTAATGCTTTCCAAGCTCCATACTCTAACCTCTCTTTTCCTCTGGTCTGATGGTGAGTTCTCAAAACTTCGGGACAGATAGACTGATTTTTCAGAGATGGTAACAATTTCTGATAATTGCATGTTAGAAGCCTTCCTTCCCTCTCTCTCCCATAGGAAACGTAACCACAGGGGAAAAATCTGGCCTCAAATGGAAGTAAACAGCTGGAGCTGATGAATTCCAGAAGCAAGTATTCTTTTTGCCTGCAAGCATCTGTGAGAGAGAGAGAGAGAGAGAGAGAGAGAGAGAGAGAGAGAGAAAGAACAGAGGCTATGTAAATATAATTATTTCTAAGTAGAGTACCTTCAACATTTTCCATTAGGTTGCAGGGAGGTCACTGTGAGGCCAGCTATCCAAATATGGCTGCTGATTCCCTTGAGTCAGCAAAGTATATAAAAAAATGATCTTTGGGACAGAAATTTCTTGCCACACATTCTAGCAAATGTATGGGATATTATATTTTAGAGCTGTGGTTTTCAAGCGTTTTTTCAAAGCATGAAAACCCCTTTTCTCAAGGGAAATCTTACTCAAAATCCTCCCCTCCCACCCCCAGGCAGGCTCGTGCGGTATCTTCAGGAAACCCCAGGAATCTAGTCTGGAGACCTGTGGTCATGGGCCTGCTGCTCCCGGTGCAGCCCTCAGACTGGAAACATCCGAGTCCCCTGGGCGCTGGTTAGAAACTCAGCCTTGGGGCCCCGCCCAACCCACCCAATCGGATTGGGTTCACTAGAAAAATTCTAGAGACAGATCAAGGGGATTTATTCCTGTGTTTCTTCCTCCGCCCCATCATTCTAAATGCCTGGATGAGACTTCCTGAAAATCAGTCTGGGAATTTTCGGCTTCCACCCCAGCTGCAGATGTAAGTAGGGTAATCCCTGACAGTCATCTTTGCGTTCCTCTCTGTACCTTCTATTCCATTCCCCTCCCCTGCGACAGAGGAGACGTGAGGGCTGCCTGGAAAAAGGTGAAGAGAGCAAAGGGATTAAAAGTAAAGACAAGGAACCTGAGTTCCTGGGTTTGAACCCAACACTCCCACCTTCCTCTGCGTGGACTTGGGCAAGTCACTTAAGGTTCTATGCCTATTTGTCCACATTGGCCAAAAGAGGTGGGGAATGATGGCAATGGTGAGGATGATGAGATGATGGACAAGCACCTAGAATCAACAACACGGGGCCTCACTTTAAGGAATGCAAGGGGCACAGAAATCACCATAGGGTTCTTTCATACAATCCCACCACTGAAAGAAATGACCAGAAGAACAAATAAAATTTAAGCGTTTTCATTTACATGTACCTTCCTTAAGAAGGAAGACTTCCTTAAGACTTAAGTCAGAAAAACTCTTTTCTATTGGAGCTTTTCCACCTATTACCTCAATGATCTTGGCCAAGTCTCTTATAGATCTATGTCATCCTCCCTCCCCATCCAGGGTGGGGGTGGCAATGCTGCCCTGCCTAGCTCACAGGAACCCTGGAGGCTCGGTGGTGAGAGTGGACACTTGAGGCTGTAAGCACCCATTAGAGGCAAATGCAAGGACGCCCAATACCTAATCAAGCTTCGGGAGAAAAAGAATGCATAGGAGGCCTGCATTTCCAGGGTAGGGTTGTGGTAGGAAACAAAACAGGAAAGTGCTTGAAAGAGTGAAAAACAGGCAAGAAGTAGTGTTCTGGCCAGTATTATTCTGGACACTTTCTCCTGATTCTATAGAGCACCAGCAACAGCCACCTGCACCCCAGCCTTTCTGCCTCACCTAAGATAAAAGTGAGGCCCTCACTAGAGCTCAGGCCAGGCTGCGGATGCCCCCCAGGCAGTGGTTGCCATGCACCCTGAGTACTGGCTGGGCGGGGTGCCTGCAGAGGGTGGTGCTGGCGCCAGGAAGCCTTTCTCCATTGCACTTGGAGTCTCTGTGGCCTCTGGTTTCTTGGCACCACAAGCTGCTTGATCTCAGTCCAGCAATTTGCTCTTATAAACAAGAGGGGGAGGGGAAAGAAAAGTTGTGAAAAACAGACACAGGGAATTAGGTCATCCCAGAAATTCTAATACATCAGCAAAGCTCTTGTTGAGCATGATTTAACTCAACCACCTCTGGCCACAGCCAGGCCTTGAAGGTGCAGGCAGAAGAGTATCAAGATGGCCTGCGACAGACAGGAAGGGCGTTAGGTGACGGACAGCTCCGAACTTCCCTGACCACTTTTCTTCTGCTGCAGGAGGCAAGCTAAGGGCCTACTGGAATGGTGAGTGTGTTTGACATTCTTTTTGATCTGGGAGTTTTGGATCCTGATGTAATAACTGAAGCAGGCTGAACCCCCTCCTGTAATTCAGCATCTAGTTTTCCTGCTGGCAGAACACTAAGCTGCCCCTCCCCTTCTCTGTGAGCTTCATCATTGGACTTCCACTTCCTTGGTGCCCGTGTAGTGTTAACGGGGGATGAAGTGTTATCATCATGATTAGCTAGTTAGTATTAATGAAGGGAAGAAAGCAAAGGAGAGGCCAGACTTTATAAGCATGGTCATCTGGGCAGCTTCACCAGGAAGCTATAGCTTCACGCTCCCCAAGGAACCACCTGTCCATTCCCTGCAGATCACTGGGGACAGGGGTCCAGCAAAGGGGGAGATGGGTGCATGCACAGTGAAGTTGGAGTGATGCAGGGGAGGTGCTTGCCTGTCAGTCTACCTTAGGGAACAATGGATTGGCTGGGGGTGGACCCCATCAGAATTGTGCAAAATCTTGGGAAGTTAAAATCCCCAGACACAGAGTCCCTGCTCTCTTGCTTGCAGCCCTTGCTCTCTCTTAACCATGGCCTGCACTTGCTCATTCACTTGCATGTTCTCTCTCCATAGTCATGTGGCCTTCAGCAGTCACATTGCCCGTGGCCGTGCAGACTCAGCCTCCACAAGCAGGATGCTGGACTGGGCTGGGCTTCAAATATGGAGCCGAAACTATGGGCAGTGGCCTTTATTCTGGGCCTGCTGAAGACAAGATGGACTTCTTCCACAGACAGAGATGAAACCTCGGAGGTGAACCCCTTAACTTTACATCATCAGTAAAGCTTTCCACAAAACCCCATCCTCCCACTGGAGCCAAAAGAAATTCTTTTCCTCAAGTCACCCCAAGAGCTCCACTCGCACCAATAACAGGAGCAGTCCCCACGATTTTCCCTGCAAAATCACCTCTAATGACTAAAGCTAGTCTTCTGCTTGGCTGTAAGGCTTCAAGCCACTTGTAAGGCTATTTTCACTCCAAATGCATCTTTCCATAGACAGGCACCAGCTATGGCAACACATTTATACCTTGCAACAGCAGAATGCATTTTATTTATTTATTTATGTATTTATTTATTTTTAATCTTTACCCAAGGACATGCTTATTGATTTTAATAAGGGGGAAAGGGAGGGAGGGAGGAAGGGAGAGAGAGAGAGAGAAAGAGAGAGGGAGAGAGAAAGAGAGAGAGAGAGAGAGAGAGAGAGAGAGGGAGGGAGAGAGAGAGAAGCAACAATCAGTTGCCTTTCCCACATGCACCCCAACTGGGGATTGAACCAGCAACCTAGGTATGTGCCCTGACCACGAATTGAACTCACAACCTTCTGGTGTATGGGACAATGCTCCAACCAACTGAGCCACACCAGCCAGGGCCAGCAGAATGCATTTTAATTGAGTTAATAACACCTGGGACAAGAGCAAAGATGAAAGGCCCTGATCCTGGGACAGCAGAACCACCCATCCCGGGAGCCAGGGGCAGCATGGAAAGTCTCACTGCTACTGATCCTGAGTGAGAAGGGAGCTGCTGAGGGGAAGGGAAGGGGACTAACGGAGGGGGTTGGATTTAACAGAAACAAAGGAAAAAAGAGTTGTGAGATTGTGAGATGAGCACTGGTCTTGAGATGAGCTCTGAGGCTAATTATATAACCTATTTTCTCATCTGTAAAATGGGTACAATGACATCTATCTACTGATGTTGTGATGAATATAAAAGAAGAGGAGGTTTCTGAATTCATTAAGCAGGATACAGCATATTATAATATTCTTCAAAGGCTGTCACCAACGTGCACTGACTGGGAGGTGGACACTGTGCTAATGATTGCAGGGCCATTGTCTCTTTCCGTGTTTACAGCAACCCTGAAAGGAAGGCAGGATTGTTCTCCTCACGTTACAGAAGAGGAAAGCCAGGTGAATTAACTTGCCCAGGGTCACACAGCTGTTAGGAGACGGAGCTGAGCTGTGCCTGAGTGCATTCTTCACCTTTTCCAGAATCGCTGTCTTGGCTTACTTGGACTTCAAATGGGACCAGAATGCTGGGCGACTGTCACAGGATGCCTCAGGCAGTGCTTGGCATGCGGGCGGCTCCTCTGTGAGTCTACATCCCTGCAGAGAAGAATGTCAGCCTCCCTGACGCAGACGCTAGGGTGGAGCGGCATTTCGTCACAGCGACTCAGTCATTTCCAAAGTGCCCACTGAAACCTACCTCTTCCAAAGGGAATCTCTTGAAGAGAATCTCATCCCCATTTTCTGTGCAAGGACATCAGGAAGCCACCTCCATCCAGTCTCCTGTTCTCTAAGCAAAACCTTCCTGGCCCCACGTCTATGGGGTTATGGGATCCGGCTCTCAAAATGTGTGCATGGTAGCATGAGGCTGCCTCCAGCTTCCTGCATCCAGAGCTGGCCCACCCTCAGCAAACACGACCTAGTGAAACTGCCACCCTCTGTAAGCTTCACCTGCCTCATTCGTGAAACAAGGGCACTCACACATGGTGTGAAAATGTGGGGATCTGGTCACTCTAGACAGGGCTCTAGAGAGCGGGGCAATTAGGAGAGAAGATGGGTTTTCTGTAATTGTCCACATTATATTGCGATTCTTCATCTGCATTTACAGACTCCAACTTCCTGGAAAGTCTGGAAGTTCTGAAAATCTTACAGGACAGTTTCCTTCCAGAGCCAGTGAGCAGTGAAGAACAAAGCTGGGACTAGGCCCATGCTCTGTGCAAGTGGGAGCTTGACTCCTGACCTGCTGAAGACCTTGGTGTGAGGGGTGATGCCAGGGTGGGGAGAAGAGTGGAAGGGGAGGAGGGAGGGAGGGAGAAAGAGAGCGATTTGCCCAAACATAAGTGAATGAATGAACTAGAATGAAATCCAGTCAAACTCTAAAGTCTAGGCCTAATGTCCATCTAAGGCAGTGGTTCTCAACCTTCCTAATGCTGCGACCCTTTAATACAGTTCCTCATGTTGTGGTGACCCCCAATTTCATTGTTACAAATTGAACATAATTAAAGCATAGTGATTAATCACAAAAACAATATGTAATTATATATGTGTTTTCCAATGGTCTTAGGTGACCCCTGTGAAAGGGTCGTTCGACCCCCAAAGGGGTCGCGACCCACAGGTTGAGAACCGCTGATCTAAGGTGTCTTAGCAGTTCCAAGTCAGATTGGGGAGGGAGGGGTTGGCCATCCAAGTCCCCCCACCCCCAGTCTGCTCAGTCAACTGAAGGGAACAGGGTTTCTTCCTCTCTTTCCTTCCTCCTCCTCCCCCTTTCCTCCCTCTCACCTTCCCTTTCCTCTCCCTCCCCCCTTTTACACATGCTTATCCAAGTACAATTCTATAATTAACGCACAATAAACTGCACACGTGTAAAGTGTTCAGTTTGGTAAGTCTCAGCACATACAGGCTTGGTGCAGGCCTGGCCCAGCCCTGCTGGAGCTCCTGATTCTGCAGGGTAAGAAAGGCCAGGTCCTTGCCGGCCCTGTGTGGCCAGACTCAGGGAACGTGGCAGCAGCCGTACAGTCATCCTGTATTCACATTTCTAAGATTGCTGAGAGAAACCGCTCTCAAATTGAAGCTAAAAGTAAGGAGGAAGGAGAAAAAAGCAGACAAAAGAAAAGGCTAATAAGAAAGGAAGAAAAGTGACCATAATGTGGATTCAATTCAATTCCAGCTTCAGTATGGTCACACTATGTCCCAGTGCATGGATTCATGCACATTGAAAGGAAATTAATTAGTCCCTCCGGTGCAGGTAATAAGGCAGGCGGTCTCAGGTGGTGGCCGGCCAGGTGGGACTGGGCAAGACGGGCCGGCCACGCTTTGGAACCAACCTCCTGTGGTCCCTCCCTGGCTGGCCACACCTGGGCCGGCAACGCAGCTCAAAGAGTATCTGCAGAGTGAGCGAGGTCCCTCCAGCAGGTGGGGTCCCTCAGCCTGGCCTGTGGGTATGGGGCTGAAACCGGCTTTCTGACATCCCCCAAGGGGTCCGGGAGTGTGAGAGGAATCACAAGGAATCCAGCTCCCCCCTCTCTGGTTCTGGGGTGCATCGCCCGAGAACCACAGCTGCTAAGTAACCGCAGCTGGGCAGCTCCTGCATTGAGCGTCTGCCCCCTGGTGATCTGTGTGCATCATTGCTACTGGCTGGTCAAATGGTTGAATGGTCACTTAGCCTTTTATATATATAGATCGTGAGTTAATTCTTGCCTCCTATACTATTTCATCAGAGGCAAATCCCACAGGCCACCTGTTGTTTTATTGGCTTTTCTTCTCTGGTGGAGACACTGGGACTCTGCAGAGGGCACATGGAGCCATAGCCAGAGAGTGGATTCTTCTGGGGGGAAAAAGGGAACAAATGAATGATAAACACCTTGTCTTCAGAACATCATAAAATGTTCAATACCAGGCCCCATGCACATTAGAGTTTTCATCCTTAATTTGAACACAGATGACTTGGTAACAGCACAAGTTACCTCCACGATATGCTTTATCCTCTGTGCGGGTCAAGAAGGAAAAAAGAAGACAGACCTACGCCTCATTCTATTGTGTCTGCGTGGCATGACTGTGTGTTTTTTTATTTGATCAAATGGTAATGTCCCCTCTCTTCCCTTCTCCACCCGAGGGAGAGACATGGACCAGGTTTTCGTGCTTATATACTTGACATAACAACAGCTTTTTGCATTTCTTTTCTGTGGTTCATTCCCAGACAGCTTGAGTCTTGAAAGAAAACTCACCAAACCTATAACAGGTCACAGGCTGGTGCCATCCTGACAGGCGTCTCTGGCATCAGAGGACCAAGACAAGTGACCACAATATTGATGTTTGTGTTACTTCACCTCATATTGGCAGCATTATTCTGTTATCAAAGTTAGCTACCCAAAACCCCAACAGTGGTAAAAATTCAGATTTTAAGTGACATGGATTGAGTAGCGGAAATGGGCTGGTTGACCTGCCAGGTGATTTGCAAAGGCCATCCTCCTGCTCAGCTCTCACAGGCTGGGCACTGAGGAGGCCTCTGCCCTGGCTCTCAGGAAGGAGCCGGCCAGCCCTGTGGCCGTGGCTGCAGGACCCGCCCCCACCAGGCCTTTGCCAACCTCGCTGCTTTGTGGACCTTTATTTGTGCCACCTCTTTGCACCACCATGCACTATAATAATTTTTGCCATATCCACATACCACCTGTGGCCTGCTGTTTACTCAAACTTTCTTCCTTAAATGGACTCAGATTTTTACTTCAAAAAATTAACTTATAAGGAAATTGCCTATTCACTATCATTTGACAGACGTAGAAGATAACCATAAAAGAAGCAATGAAAACAAAACAGTGTCATCGAGATTTAGCTGTGGCCTTTGGAAGCCTCTAGGTCTGGGGCCTACTCTCTGCTCCTCAGAAAGATTAGGCAGCGTGGAGAGGGGATGGGCACTCCTGCTTGAGATGGAGGCTCTGTCAGACAGCGGACACGCAGCGCCAAGTGGAATGAAAGAAAATAGGGAAGGGAACTGCCTCTCACCAGGACTCGGGTTCCTTGCTGGTGGCAGGTCTCTCAAAGCCTAATGCTGGGACACCCTGCGGGCCCTTCCTTTTCCTCAGGTCCCTGCAGTGTGGCCTAGCTCTCTGGGCCTCAGGAACTCCTGGTCCTGCCACTCTGTGACTTCACCGTCACCCCATCATACCGGCCTCCTGGCAGCATTCAACTCCCCTCCTCTCTGGAAACCCCTTCCCTTGGCTCTGGCACTGCTGTCCTGCCTTCCAGAAGGTTCCTCCTCTTCACTGCCCCCCTTTGGAATCCTCCCTCTCTTCCCATCATTTTTGTGATGACGCAGCAAAGGGCTCAGAGCCACCTAGGCACCTCTAATCACCAGGACCGCGAGGCTGCCTCCCTGACCTCAGGGTTCTTGGACGTCACCTGTAGGACTGTGCTCCAGGTGGACAAGCTGAGCTGGGAGGAGTGAGCCAGGTCAGTATGGCACCAGCTGACTGGAAGGCCTGCCAATGCTTAGAGCCTGGCCTCCTGGTGTTCAGGCCACTGGACACTTGGCACCTGAAGGGCAGGCCGAGCCTGGCACTGTCATGCTGGCAGGGCTGTCCTTGAGAACCAGACTCACCCTCAGAATCAAAACCAGCAGCCTGTGCTGCTCAGCTCCCTGTTCCAGGAGCGGTGGTTGGCCTGCGGTGGCAGCTATTGTCCCCTGAGGGCCTGCTCCTCTGGTAAGGTCAAGCCTGTGTGGAGGTGTTCCCTAGCAGTCAAAGATGCTGCCCCTCTCCTGCACCCTTCTTGCCTGGCGGGGAGGGGGGCGGAGGGGACACTCTTTTCTAGCAAACACATCCTCTCCAAGGTTCTCATAAGTCTCATGGCATCCATACCTGCCACCTCCCAAATATGCATTTTAACCTGGGACCCCTTCTGAAGACAGCTCATTGATTCCATGGTGAGGAATCCCACCTGGTCAGGTTGAGAAAGGGTGGTTAGGGCGCACGTTATACCTGCCCAGTTACAACCTTCACAGCTCTTGGGGCCAGCTGTCCCTCCGCTCAGCGTTTCACTGCTGGCTGAGTGTGGGGATTGGATTTCTGCCCCTCAGCCCACCTCAGAGGTGCATCAGGGCTGACAGGGCCACTGTCTGCCTCTGAGCACCTCCCTGGGGTGAGCAGGGTCACTTTGCACACAGCATGTCTTGGCAGCCTACATCGCAGGTCGGGGACAGAGTGTGCTGCTTCTCTGGGATGCTCTGACTGTGGCTGTATTTTTGCTCAGAGGAGCAGGAAAGCCCAAACCTGGTTCTTTCAGGTGGGAGATAGGGAAATAAAATGCTCAAAGGTTGAAATGATTGATTGCAAAACCTCAGACAAATGCTACCACATCATTGTGCAGTGACCACACCCTCAAGGCTGCCTCACAAGGGCACTTCGCTGCTTGTTGTGAGGATGAGGAAGGCCAGCTGAAGGCTAGCTAACAGTGGGGCTCAATCCCAGGCCATCCAACTCCCAAGGCCAGGCCCTCTCACTGTGCTGTGCACAAATTTCTTGTTCTCACACCTATTGAAATGTTAACACTCTTAGATTAGATTGTGATGCTAAGTAATTAGATTAACTGGATTTTCCTTGTCCAACAGGTTCTTTTGCTAGGCTGTCTTGGCCTGTGGGTCTCGGGCTTCACTTGGAAAAGACAGGGAACAAAGGCCAGGCCTGAGACACAATTCTCCTCTTTGTTTGAAATCAGGACTTTGGAAAAACAAAACAAAATAGTGCCTTGTCCCATTAAACGTGGGTTAGCCACAAACTCTGACAATCCAATATGCGGGCTGGATGGAGACAGGGAATGCTGGTGTCATGAAGTCTAGTACCCATGTAGGGCGCTCATGCCGTCCACCATTGCAGCCATGTTTCCACCCCTGAGCCTGTGACAGTGCAGCCCAAGGCTGGGCTTAAGGGGGAACATTGGGTTGACACAGTGTGGCCTCCAGGACCATTGACTTGGTCGTGTAGACCTGTGTTATAAACATAAGATTGAAACACAACATTCAGCTGCTTGATTTGTGGTTTTAAGACTTTTTAATAAAGCAGCTCTTTGACACAAGACATAGTAATGGTTACTTGGATCTGTTTCAGTAGTTCATGTCACCCTTTGCTCTTGGAGATGTTACCAAGCTGTTGTGGACATGGTCCAGCGTCTAGTTTTACAACTTTGTTGCTTAGAAGTGCAAACGGGTGTTGGCTCAGTTGATGTTCAATTCTTTGGAGGAGTTTAAGGGGAAAAAAGATTAAAGTAACTATAAAAC